ATTTTTGATATTGAATTTGGAACACTGATTTAAATGTTGTGTAGATGTTCGAAACCACTGAATATTGAAAAATGGTAAAATAATGCAGATAGTCTACGTATTGCAGAAAAGGTTACAGGCATTTATTGGTTAATTATAAAGGTTTTCCTATTTGAAATGCTTCTTGTCCTTTCTGTGACTAAACATTAATAAATAGATAAATATCATGATTTACATACTAGCTATAAGCAGTTGTTATTAGTCCTATATTCAATAGTCAATACTCTCCCGGGTTTCTATTCTAGAATTCTGTTTACTACGAAATTAAATATCAATAAGTTTTACCGAATAATACCCGGAAAAAAACCAAAGTGAGCTGTTTACTCACTACATTTAACTTCTGTTTATTGCAAGCAGCAGTTTTAAACAGTCACATTATAAACATTATGTTACCTGCAGCAAAATGACGCGGTCAAAAGCCACGTTGGTGGTAATTGCTTAAAAATACTTGAGCTTTCTGAGCACGGTGGCACAGAACTTTTTATGCAAAGGCCTTTCGCTTGTCCCTACATTAAAGTGGAGGCTTAATTTGCTATAGTAGGTACTTAAGTAGTGACAGGTTGAAACCCATCACAACCATAATAAGCCCCGACTCCATTTTGTTTTTTTAATGTCCGTTTCGGGCAGGCTTCACTGCGAAATTCTCTACAAAAGACAATTTATGCAATCATTGTGCCAGGCTTATTTATATAGTAAACGTTCTATGTATTTTTACCTTTTGGGGAATATGATTGTTTTACAGAAAATGTGGTTACCAGAGAATATTTTTTATATATACTTCTTCCTCCTATTATATGCGGGATGTGATATGAGATAGTGAGCATTATTTGTATAGCAATATTTTTATAATAATCTTCGTGAGACTTATTGAATTAACGAAAAATATTGGCTTAATCACGTTTTTTAATATATATACCTACTGAGAAAAGCTCTATTAGTTTCGAGTCACAGAGGGACTCTTTTTCATGAGCAGCGTGCACGCAGCCTACGTCTAATTTGTATAGGTATGCAAATTAAAAATAAAATAGGAAATTAGATTTAACTGAGATATTAACCTTTTATTTCTATATCACAAAATATGTTGTGTACCGACAATCACTTTACCTCACTAGTTAAACTTGGTAAATTATAGGTATTTACGTTTTTTACCAAAGTCAGGTTTACGTTTCCAAAAGAAATGACTAATTTATAAGTCAATAAACTAGAATGACTAAACGAAAATCGTCTGCAATAATTGGTTTCCTAATACTACACAAAGGTCAAAATTGATTGATGTATTTACATTTTAAAGATGTGTGTTTAAACGCTTAAATTGTTTTTTTTTAAGGAATATAGCCGGTATACGAGCAGACATATCTCGTATCGACGGAGCACTTTATGGTACGCAATCGGCGCCGACTTTGGACACCCGAAACACCAGAGGTGTTATACGTGCATTACCGGTCTTTTGGGGGATTAGGAATTTGAGGATTATTGGGAATTTGGAAGATTGGGGCCCCTCCTCAATTGGGCCCCAATTAGGCCCACGGTAATCTCACTCATACGATGAAACACAACGCATTGTTGTTTCACGTCGATTTTCTGTAAAGCCGTGATATCACTCCAGTCGAGCCGACCAATTTGTGCCGAAGCTTGGCTCTCCCATACTGAACAATAGCTAAATAGTTATATACTTCTCAATAAAGTCAAGAGTAAACTGAGTAAGGGTTCTAACATTCAGTACTTGAATACCCAATGTGCAATTACTTTAACAACGAACTATGTAGGTGATTTGTATTCGGAGTAGACATTAAACTGTATTTCAATTACTTATAACCTACTCTATATACTACAATAACATTTAAATGGATGAAGAGTGACTGTATATTTAAAAAAATAGCTACTCTCACGCGGTTTCATCTACTGCTCGTTGGTCAAATAGTGATGTTTTGTAGCTTATAAACTTTCTAGATAAATGAAATATCCAACCTATAAGAATTATTGAAATTGGTCCAGTAGTTCCAGAGATTAGCGCGTTTAAACAAACAAATATAAAAACTCTTCAGCTTTACCTATACAAAAACGTATAAGAGTGTAAGACGTGCGCCTCTGCCTAATCTTTCAGAATTAAAGGTATGAAGTTACGTTATATCATCACACGAACTAATACTTTCCAAAGGATTTAAAATAGAGAATATGATTATCAGTAAAACCAAGTTTTAAGTTACGCACTCCAATTGCTAAATTCAAATAGATTAAACAGAAAACAAAAACTAAATCTAGGACGTCTTTCTTGAAAGCAGAGTGATTTAGTAACCACTATATATAAAACAAATCGCTTTCCGCTGCCTATCCTTATGAATACTTAGATTAATTATGTGTTTATTTAATAGATAGATATGTATATAACTAGCGACCCGCCTCAGCTTCGCACGGGCGCAATATGCATATATTATACATATAAACCTGCGTTAAGAATCACTCTATCTATTAAAAAAACCCGCATCAAAATCCGTTGCGTAGTTTTAAAGAGTCGCGGAGAACCTAACGGGTAACCGGCTCGACGTGCAGAAGAAGGAACGGGGTAGTTTTTAGTCAGTAAGAGTCTGACACTCCCTCCCGCCTCACGCAGGTGGGGAAGTCATTTTAAAAAGATTCCCCCCTTAAAAAAATATTTACATAGTAACAGACAGACGGCGGATAGCGACTTTGTTTTATACTATGTAGTGATGTATATGTATACTCTGAATACGCGAGGGAAACCGCAGATGAAAACTAATATCTATAAAACAAATTAAAAATAAACCAATATTTAAATTAACAAGTTAAAATATCCAGTTATTTAAAACCCGCAACGGAGAACAGACGATGACACGAACACGAAGCAGAAATGCAACTCTGTCCAAATTCGAATACATGCTCCTAAATTGTTTTGTGTGCCAGTGAAGGGTCACGTATTTAGTTAAGCGAATCTTCTCAGACATGTTGGCAACTGAAACGAAGATTTTTTTGTATTCGCTCTGTGTCCAATTACCTCCAAATGTCAGATGTTTTGATCCCTGAGACAATGGAACATGACGAATCGAGATTGAATAAAGAGATTGTTTTTATCAAATTATTTCAGCTCGTATTACTTACGGAATAAGATGGGGATTGCAAAGTTAAAATAAATGATTTTGTAGATATGTAGGTATATAGGGTTGCTTGAAAAGTGTTACGATTACTGAAATCTAACAAATTTAAACTATTGAACCTAAACTTCTTATGTACGAGTGTATGAAGTTGTATTAAAATCTGTGTGCATGCATTATTCGTTTTCACGAATGCATGCCGCATAAAAGTTCTTAACTAAACTCTAGTCATGACTTTGTTAGTACGTAATTTGAAGGAAATGTTGCCGATGTAGTAATATGAAAGACTTCATTTGGATCTAGCTAATAGAGCAATATGCCTACTGATATTGCATCTGATACTATATTACCTAATACTCAATACACAAGAACACTAACCCAATACCTGGTCCTCAGATTGTCATGTTGAGACAACCCTGGCCCAGAATAATCTGGTTTTAAGCGGATTAAACCGGTGGACACAAGTACTTGTTTAAATTTGTATCCCAATCAAGTCCCATCCATTGTTTCATTGAATCTAATAATAGGGACTATAAATATTGTATGAGAACAAGATATTTTGGGAACAAAATGGTATTAGGTGTCTTTTAATGCAACTGTAAAACAATACAAATAAAATTAAATATTGTAGAGACATGTTGCCGCATTTTAATGTATTATTGAGTTTTGCTTATTAGTTCTGGGCCTCGTTTCTCTTTAAATACTAATCCACATTGCGTCATTTACTTACAAGGTACTTTCTTCTTTTACTTCTTTGTTGCAAGTAGAAGACTATTTCCTTTGTAAGATTATTATGAAATAGATGTAATATCTAATAATTTTAATAATAAAGCGAAGTGTAAAACAATTATAAAAATGCTATACTGGATTTCAAAGACGTCATACTTGGCGGTAATCTTAATCATAGACGACAAAAATCTACACAAAAGTCATAGACTGTAGAAAAGAGGTAGGTATATTTATTTTATAAAATAAAAGGTAAAGAATTTAATTTTAGGAAGTCTAATTAGGGACAATGTTTAGTAAGTACAACGCGAGTTTCGATGCGATGCGTCCGTGCGGCCGACGGCGACTTAACAAGATTTGACGAGAGAAAACTCGGAAAAACTCGGTAAACTCGGAGAAAGTCGACGAAACTCGAAAAAGGAAACATGAATACGATGCAAATTAAGATAACGAGAAGTAATAAGGAAATGGTTCGTCGGAATAATTCGGTTTAACCTGGTTTATTGTCTTTGTATTTTAGTACGGATGCTGTAATTTATTTGTATTGTTATTATTTGACGGTGATTGTTGATTATTTAATTATTTCTAATTGATATTGTTGTAATTTTTTGTTAATTTTTGGGTCAACAGTTCTTAAAATTCATAATAAAATGCAATATTTAAAAGCTTTTGGTTATTTAACATTAAATTGACAACCACGTTTTCAATTTATTTCATAATTGACATTTAATTAAATTTTTCAATGTAAAATTATAATTCTTTATTTATAATTGACACAATAAGACATCATTCATAATGTAGTACCTAATTAAAAAGAGTTAGATCGATTTATAAATTAAATATTACTACTGTTAATTAGACAATGAAATAAGTTAAGCAAATCTTATGTTTTCGGAAAGGGTTAAAATAAGTCACATACAACGCAGGTGACGGCGACGTCGCGTGATAAGAATTACGGTTAATGGCCACAATACATTTAAACTAATTCTCATACATATTTCGTGTTACTTTAATAACTTTTCTAACCAGTACGATGGCCACTGAAAATCCCACACAAGAAAAAAATACACAAGAAAATACTTTCGATAAAACTTTTTAAAATTAAAAAGAAACATGAATAATTACCTAAAAAAAACACACGACAACAAACGTCAATTGTTTCGCAAACTTTTTTAAACTTTCCACAGAACAGTCACAAGCAAGATGCACCAATTAAAAAAATAACTAGTTTTGTAGTGTTTACATTGCGGGCGAGCGATAAAGGCCGCGGGGTTCGACGCGACGTCCCCGGGTTTCCAAACCGAACTGGAGTGGATCTCCGGCCGGCTTGCGATGTACCGCGGCGAACATGCGCACTCACTGCCTCTCTTTCAAACCATTGTGGAAGACCCCTGCAAACGCTCCTCTCCGCATTACTTGAAGGTAAACCTTTTTGGGATAGTGTGCAGATGGTTTTATTGTTTCCCGCTGTACTGCGAGATCTTCACTGTTGCGTTCACGCGGTTGGACTAATCCATCTTTTGTTGACGGGTCACTCTTTATTTAAAATTAGAATCCTGAATTCTAGCCAGACAGTATTTTTTTTTAAGAACCTATATTCTAAATTCAAGTCAATATCTGATAAAAAGAAAAAATAAATTTCTTGTAATTTATTTTTAAAACAAAGTGAATTAAATATCTGTGGAACGAAGCACGCAGGTTTAAAATAAATTACGTCAATATTTTCAAAGATAAGATAAGACTTGGACAGATTATTTATAGCTTTACTTATGAAATCGAAGGTGTTACAAGCTGATGCACGAACAAACGTCTTGAAGTTGCAATTTACATAATTTTTGTTATTTAAAAGGATTTATTTATTTTCTAGATGCGTAAATTCAAGAAACTGAACACATAAATAAGTTACAGATAACATAACATCACGCCTTTTATCCCCGAAGGGGTAGGCAGAGGCGCACATGCGGTTACGGTACAATGTAACACTCACTTTTCACTATTTTATTTTATGAGTCCCATGTAATAGGGGGTGAGCTTATTGCCATATACCAGGCACAATTCTAGACTCCGTGCTATCACTGAGATTTTTTTTGAAAGCCAGTAGTTCTTTGCCCGACCCGGGTATCGAACCTGAGACCCCTTGCCCGGCAGTCGCCCTCGCGACCACTCGATCAACGCGGCAACATAAATATGTAAGTTCTCTTGTATAAATATGGTAAGTGAAGTCTTTGATTACATAAACAACTATCGTTTTGTTTAACTTCTGTGATGGAGCTTTGTTTGTTACTTTGATGTTATTAAAAAACATTTTGTTTCTTTTGGTTTAGTGTTAGAGGTCAAACGCCTTATCGAGAATCACACTTGGTTCTTCTTGGTTGATAAGGAGTTCGTTCCTGTTTGGTAAAGTAACCTTAATAATGTACAGATAAAACGCATGAACATGCATATTACAACATCTCTTCGTGAGGGATGTCGATGATGGAAAATACCCAAATTGAACCTTATCCAGCCTAGCCTGGGAGTTCTACCTTGCTTGACCGAGTTAATTGGTAAAACTAAAATACCAATGAAACAAATATATAGAATTCCTAAATACTGGCACTTTGTCACGTATGTGCATCTCTTTTTCGCAAACCAGAAAGAGTGATACGGGAATATCATCCACCAAAAATGTATACTACTTATATACCATTATTTAAGAGCATTCAGGTAACTCGGAAGATGTGCTTATCTTTATCCAGTTCACGTCCAATTTTCCTCTGCAAAATACGAGCTCTCACGTACCTAGAGATGAACACAATGAGCTAGGATTTTCCGAAAATTTTCGTTTGATTTTCTTCAAAACTATTAAGTCATGGTTTACCATGTTCAAACTGGTTTTCAGTAGGTAAAATATTTTGTGTAATTATTTTACATAAAATCACGCCTTTTATCCCCGAAGGGGTAGGCTGAGGTGTACATTATGTCACTGTACAATGTAACACCCACTTTTCACTATTTATGTTATGAGTCCCATGTAATAGGGGGTGAGCCTATTGCCATATACCGGGCACAATTCCAGACTCCGTGCTACTACTGAGAGTTATTTTAAAAACCCAGTAATATTTTACCCGACCCGGGAATCGAACCCGAGACCCCTTGCCCGGCAGTCGTACTTGCGATCACTCGGCCAAAGAGGCACTCGGCCAAAGTGGTTTATATGTATGTATGTTGAATTTTATCCACAGTTATTTTTGTGTTAAATAAGTGTGCAAACTTTCATTTATTGTGCATAGTAATGGATTATTTTTGTGGGATAAACAACGTACCTAATCTAATCGTATCACACTTAAGGCACAGTGGCAGTAGTAGAGCATCATTGTGCGAATTGGTTTTCCGCACGGAAAACATTCGTATGTAATAAATGAATCCTACAATGTTCTCCGACACGGAAGAATCCTTGGCATCCACATACTGATCTTGTCAAGCAAAACTTAACCCAATAATGGTTGAAAAAGTTTTTTTAAGAAAAATAAATTAAATCGTTCCAAAATGTTTGTACCTACGCTCTCCCACTTTAAGTAGATTACGAACTTTCTTCGAACGACATTTTTTGACACAAAAATAACATATTGCTAGGCGGAAAACCTATTCCAAGAGTTTATCACGTTTTTCCGTCAATCATAATCAAATTATTTTTGGAACTTTTTGATCTTATAATTCATGAATTACATTTTAAGGAGACGAAATAGAAATATTTACTGTTCTGCTAGAATATTCTACTTGCGTATATGTGATGTAAAGAGATGATTAAGCGTCTGGGCGGATTGTAATTTGGAAACAAAAATAAAGTTTGACATTACAAGTGTTAAAAATATGTACTTTTAAGATGCTTATGTGTATATACCTTATACCTACGTGTAATTTATTTTATGTTTATTTTTATTATATTCCCCACGCAATATAATTACTCTTTCAGTTTTAACTATAGGCAAACCACATAATCCTGTCAGTTATTCCGTGGTTGAGGAAATAACCTGGTGGTGGGAAATAAGCCCAATGCACTGAACACCTATTTATAGAGTACCATTGATACTAGATAAAGTCCGACTAAATACTACTAATAAGAATTTGATCTGACCCATTCAGCTCAGGCTTAAACTCAGAAAAACACTTTGACTTCAAGTACAAAGCACATAAATACTCCTCGCAGTAACTAATCGCATATTACGCCATTTTCATCAGATAACGCTATCCCATCCCAGAACATCGGTTACGAAAGGATACTCACTATTATCAAACTGTATATTTGTACCCATACAACTGCATAACATAAGACTAGGATTACATAACTCGATATCTCGTAAACAGATTAATGCTTCCACCCCAAGTTGACTTAATGCTCTAATGAAAATAGCAACCCACGCTTGCTTCTAAGCTCGTTCGCCGCTATAACTATTTTATTGACTACCTACGAGACAATATTATGCTATGGCCGATATTTTGCGTCAATAATCATAAATAGTTGGGTAGTTTATGTGACAGTTAAAAAGTCTAAAGACTTGTCCAGACGAAGTATAGTTATTGCTATGTTTATTCATCGGAAAATAACATATTGGTGTAGATGTTTGGAAGTGAAACAAGAAATGGCAGTGATGTCTGAATCAAATAAATCAGTCTACCCTGTTTGAAAATGTTGAGTAGATTGGAATATTGTTTTATTAATTTTGCGGTCCTTTTTTTAACATATAATAAAAAACTGTTAAATATATTAAGATACAGTTCCATAAAGACCTAGAAAACTCTAAGAGTGCGTCCACATCCGAATGTGCTGGGAAGGTGCCGCTCGAGAACCTTTTACGACAATTGTTTGGTGGTCAACTCATAGATACCAGGTTCATATAAATAATAATTTTAAATACACGCTCGCAGGTCGCGGGCGGCTCGCGAGCTGAGCATTCGTCAGATGTGGACGTACCGTTACTTTGAAGGATCAAGCGCAGAAGTGCACATATTACATTTAAATTTTAATACACATTCACAATGAGCCTACATCTACACACAGTGCACAATCATACTCTATACCACTACTGTCCCGAGCGTACGGCGCGTCGCGTTCCGCGCGTGCTTCAAAGAGCCATCAGACCACCACAGATGGGGCCCAATAGGGCTGATACGGAGCCGCGGAGAACTAACGGGTTACCGGGGCTACGGCTCGAAGTGCAGAAGTAGGTGGTGGGTGGTTTTTAGTCAGTAAGAGTCTGACACTTCCTCCCGCCTCACCTAGGCGAGAAAAGACATTCGAATACTTTCCCCCCTTAAAAAAAACACTACTGTAAGGTTTTTGAAAACCGTAAAAAAGTTCTATAATACTTTAATCATTTGGCGAATAAACTAACCCGAGACTTACCACAGTAAGGTTGTCTATGTTATTGGGAAATGCTATATTATTTATGGCTCGCATAGTTTTATTTAAGGTTTGTTGGAGATCGTGCGGCACGTTATTGTTAGTACGTGATTATGTCCCGATAAAGTATTGATATAATATTATTTCAAAACACATAATACGTTATGTCAGAAATAGAATACGACGGACCTCGTCTGGGGAAAATACGGTATATTTTTCGCTACCATTTTTAGATCTTCGATATATGAATTGAGTCTTAGGTGAAGATAGAAGTAGTCTCCTAAATATAAGTTAAGAGCATTTTCAGGTGCCGCCAAATGTAATGTCTAGACCAGTAAGGATAATTGAAATAATAATATATATTTTTAAGTAAATAATTTTAATTAGTTGTCTAGTTTAAAAGTTATTTATTTGACTTGAATATGGCTAGTTCAGTGGCTAGTGTTAGTTTTTTGGTTTCATTTGAAGCAAATATCTTAACACTGTTTTACGATATACATGAAGAGAGAGACAAATGTGTTATCAGCCTTTTGGGTATTAATTACTCGCGTAATTTACTAATTGCTATGCTCAATCAAAATATATTTTTTTTATAAACAACGTTCAAAAAACCGACTTCAACCCTCTCTTTTTTAGAAGTCGGTTATTTAGTATACTAAAACGTTTTCCTAAGTGTAACAAACACATTTGAAACCCGAATAAAAATCAGTTCAGCCAATAGCGAGATAGCACACAAATATACTTAGATTCAGTATTGGTCAAACTGACAACTGCTTTTTTGTTCTTCTTATTGAAGTCGGTTAAAAAGAGGTAGCTTCAACCAGAATGACCATTACGTCACGAATGCATATAAAAATATTTTTAAACATGTATTTTTAAATGCACTATATTTAAAAGCAGAGATGTGACTATGGAA